ACGGTGCTGTAGTGGTGTGCAGTACATCTGTACCCTGTGTGCGTGCAGACGGTACTGTCCATCTGTGCTCTGTGCTGGGGAAGGAGGTGAAGATGTGCAGATACTGGACTTGCTACCCAACACACCTAACCACTCAATGAACCCTAGGCCAATGATGAGATGGCTCAGTGGGCAAAGGCAGTTACCAATCCTGAGGATCCAAGTTCAAGCCACCAAAGGAAGCCACATGGTGTAAGGAGAAACCTGGCCCCCACAAGTTTTCGCCTGACCTTTACATGAGTGCTATGTTATACATGCAGAGTGACACACATAAAGCAATAAATAAATGAAACAAAATTATTAAATTCAAAAGGGATGGATGGTGCTTGAGTTATGACACCCAACATTATTTTCTGGAGTCTACACATGGACACATGCATCAAAACATGTCTATAAATGAGAGAATACTCTCCTCCACACAACCTGAAAGAGGTTATGGGTCTTGTGGGTAAGAGTTAGAACCTCAAACCTCTTGTTAAATTCTGTTTTTTTTAGATTTGTATTTATTTAATTTGTATGTATATGGGTGCTTGTCTGCAGGTGTGTCTGTGTACCACTGTGTGCCTGTTGTCCATGGAGGTGAAGGGTGTCAGAGCTCCTGGAACTGGAGCTACAGGTGCTTATTAACCACCGTATGAGTGCTTGGAACTCAACTTGGGTCCTCTGGAAAAGTAGCCAGTGCTCTTAACACACTAAGCTTTGTCTCCAGCCCCCTTGCTGAATTCTTACAGCACTTTATATTCTTCTTATCTGTCAGTAGTAGCTGAGCAGCTTGACTTAGAAGTGACACATTGCAATTCCTATAGTGGGGAGAAAGAAAACAGGGTGATAGTTTGGGGCTACTAAAAAGCTCAGTCTTCATCTCTCCCAGCAAGTAGGGAGTTCCCACACAGGAATGCTGCCTCCTGTGCACTCCTACACATACCAAACTGCACTCCGGAGGAGTAGCACCTTCCCCAGGGGAGGGTCCACCCCAGTCCTGTCTGGTGGTACCAGGCTCTAAGAAAGGATGTCAGGTAGAATGTGGGAAAAAATGAAAAAGGATAGATGTGTACCAGAGGGTCCTCTGTCTTCCTTCAAACTCCGATAGATTAGTGTAGATATCTTGGCTTTGCCCAAGTGTCAAGTTTTGTTAGGGGTTGTGGTTACTCTGGGTCTTGTGTTGGTCTGTAAGGTATTAGTCACTGTATGGGCTCTGGATAATGCTAAATGACCTTTGCCAGATACAGCAGTCATCACGTTCCCCTAGGCCCTGCCCTGCCTGGGAAACCTAGCAAGGTGTGTCCTCGTCACCCACCCTGAAGTTAAACTGGGGCCAGGTTAGGCTGGGATCAGTCTCAGGGAATCACTCAAAGGAGTAAGAAGCAAAGCACAGCACAACCGAGCAAGAGGATGGGACAGGAGGGCCTAGCATACTCTGCGCATCGATGCAGGCCCCTGCTGACTCTGGCTGCCAGTCTCCTGCTCACCTGTGGACCAGGTAAGGACTGAACTGGAGAGACTCTGGGAGGAGAGGAAACAAGGTGCTCTGGCTTTTACAAGCCCCTCCGTGAGGTTGTCACTAGTAACAGGAATCATAGGTATTGATTGAGAAGTTCCCCTCAGACTCAGGGGCTTCAGTTTCAGTACACATCTCACAGAACAGAATGACAAGTCAGAGTGAACTCAAGTGAGGAAGTTTATTGATTAAGTAGAAAGACAATAGGACCCCAAAGAGAGTCAGGTGCAGTAATATTGTCAGCAGTATCTGTACATGTGGTTCGAGGAGCCTCAGGCTTGTTTGAGCTGCAGTTAAATTGAGGTATCAGGGAAAGTAAGCATTGGTATATTCCTTTTTCTTACACACAGAAATGTTTTCAACATAGAGCCCGTCTTAGATATGTGTCAGTTGGAAGAGAGCTGTTAGATATAAAATATTTATCAGGGAGAATCCTTAATTATATATAGGACAAAGGAGACTAGACTTTAGGCATAGTTCACAAGCTATTTTGAAAATTCTCCTCTCTATTCTCTCTCTCTCTCTCTCTCTCTCTCTCTCTCTCTCTCTCTCTCTCTCTCTGTGTGTGTGTGTGTGTGTGTGTGTGTGTGTGTGTGTGTGTGTTCATGTGCCATTGAGCACATGTGAAGATCAAAGGACAACTCAGGTATCAGTTTCTCACCATCTACCTTGTTAGAGAGAGTTTCTTATTCAGGCTCTGTACATGACAAGTTAGTTAGTGCGTGACCTTTTAGGGACACAGTTGTCTCAGTTGTGCTGGGATTGCAGGCATGCACTCCTGCATCCGGCTTTATAGGGTTCTAGGGGTCAGGCTTGTATTGAAAGTGCTTTACCCACTAAGCAGCCTCCATGGCTTCTTGTTAACTATTAAAACTATTTTACTTACATTTATTTATTTATATCTATTTTATTTGTGTATGTATGTATATGTGCATTCATTTGCATGCATGTGACTTGTAGCAAACTTGTAGCCATCTGTTTTCTTTGTCCTGGGTCCTGAGGTTCAAACTCAGATCATCTGCCGTAGTGGTAATCTCCTTGCCTGCTGAGCCATCTCAGCATCCCACACTGACTGTTTTTTAGCAAGCCTGTTTATGCTTTGTAGAAATGGGTGTACAGTTCCTTTTACAGGTGGTCTAGTCAGTTATGTGGGAAACTTCTGGGTGTCCATGGTATGAGTCAGAAATCACAACCATGGGAGTGAGTGGGAGTGGGGTGTCCTTTCCTTCCTGGTGTTCCGTTTCTTAGCTAGCTGTTGTGCCTGAGAGGCAGCCAGGACCAAGACTTGCTCTTTTCTCTCAGTTTTGAGTAAAGACTCACTTCAAAGCCAAGGCAGTATTATCTGGACTGATTTAAATGAGTTAATAAAACTATTTTGTTCAAAAATATTTCCTGGACTTTGAATGCAGCTGACCAGGTACCCTTTCCTCAGTTGCTCACTCACAATCTTGTTCGCTGATAATTTTATAGAACTCTAGGCTTCTAGTACATAAGAAAAATTTTCAGGGTGAACATGGAACAACTCAGAAACTTATGATACCATGGGATTCCATGATCTGTCTGATGGGCAAGACAAATGATTGCCTACATTGGAAGAACAGTACAGAGCTGGGTTAGGCAACTTTGAAGCACAGAAGGCAGGGAAGCATGCTTCCACTGCACAAGAGCATGGAATTTTCAGAACAGGGAACTGTCAGGGAATAATATAGCTGTGGGTCTTAGGGAGAAAGCATTCCTGCCACAGGAGACTGAGTGGGCAAAGCAAAAGTCAGTAGCTAGCATCGTGTGTCTTTGGGTAGATTTGTGTGAGCTGGGCATAGAGTTGTGTGATAGGAGGATGCATAAGGGGAAGACTAGAAACAGAAAAAGCATTCTGAACATCTTCTCCAACCTGTTCATGGGTCCAAAGGATAAACTCTTCAGGTCTGTGCATCATTTAGAGAAGTCTTCTTGGGTCATACTGCCCTAACTGTAGAAAAGGTCTCTCAATGTTTAAACACTGTAGAGTTTCAGGAAACACACACACACACACACACACACACACACACATCCTGCAGAAAGAAGATCCAACATCCTCTAGTTCTCAACCTAGAGCAACCCAAACTTCAAACCTACACACTGTTCTACTCTGGCTTTGTGAGCAGTAAGTTTTGACCTTCCCATCAAATCTTTCCAGTACCTAAGACACTGTTGTGCAGGGGAGAGCCCTCAATGCACCTAGGTGCCTAAGTATCTCTTCATTTACTCTCTGCTTGCTACAAAGACTCCTCCACTCCTCTGAAGGGGTGAGGGCAGGAAGCCTTCAGCATATTCCCAAATCCAAAGGTGGTCTCGACTCCTTCCCCCTTGTGTTCTCCTCCACAGCCCCAGCCCACCCTAGCTAGTATTGAATTATTCAAGTCCTGCCAGCCAGGAGACTCTGGAAGAACATTGCAGTTGGATTTCTTTATGAGGTTATCAATCACACACACCCTGAATGGTAGGTAGGTTTTTACCGACTGTTCCCAAGTCACTACAGAGGCTGTTTGCCTACTTTTTGTCACCAGGGCTCATTCAGGATTTGATTTTGAGAGCTATTGATCTAGGCAACTGCATTGCTGTCTCAGGGAAAAGGAAGAGAGGTGGTCTGGGTCATAGGCAGGTGGCCTGGGTTATAGGCAGCTGCTCCTTCCACCAACATCCTCAGGCCCTCCCAAGAGTCTCCTAGAATCAGTCCAGACACCCTTAAGGACTTTTGATCTAAAATATTAGAAATTAGTTCCTTATCTTCTGAGCAATAAATCTGAGTCTGCGGATGCCAGGCAAAGTGAGAGTCCAGTAATTGTAGAATGTTGATTAACATTCTGATTCTTGTTATCAGTTGGTAGTGGGTGCACCTCAGACAAACCTCAGAGGCTACAGTATGGCCCCTGGACAAAGCTAGCATATTGTAATTATTTTACTCTTGCTTATGGTTAGCTTACTGTGCCTAGTTAATATTAAATGTTATCATGTCTGTGTGTAGAGGGGGAAAACAATGTTTTATAGGCTTTGGTAATATGTGTGGTGTTGAGTATCTACTTGGAGTCTGAAAAGATGCCCCTGAGGGGGTGTTATCAGCAGATATCACAGTCCAATGGGTATCTACTGGAATTCCTAGGTGCTTGTAATGTAGAATGAGAATTATATAGTGTCCTGGTCACTTTTTTATTGCCATGACAAAAACACTATAATCAAGGCAACTTATAAAGGAAAACATTTAATTTGGGGTTCCAGGGAGTTAGAGACCAAGACCACCACGGCATAGACCATGGCAGCAGGTAGGCATGACACTGGGGATAATTGAAAGCTTGCATCTTGAGACATAACCATGAGTCAGAGAGCAATGGAACTGGAATGGCATGGGTTTTTGAAAGCTCAAAGCCCACCCAGGTGACATGTTTCTACCCTCAAGATCTTATGTCTTACTGCTTTCCAAATAGTTCCACCAAATAGGGACCAAGTATTCCAATATATGAGCCTATAGGGGCTATTCTCATTTAAACCACCACAGACAGGAAGAGAGATGTGAATTGTAGCAGAAGCAGAAAAGGGTTATTAAGAGAGAATACACAGGATGAGAAAATGGATCAGTAGTAAGAATATTGTAGCATAAGCAAGATAACTTGAGTTCAGATCCTCAGTACTCATGTTAAAACATTAACAGCAAAAGCAGGAATGACTGTACCTGTAATTCCAGCACAGGGAAACATGGAGGCAGGAAAATCAGTGTGGCATGCTCGTTGCCGGGCCAGCAGAGTTTTCTGAGAGATCTCGACTCAAAGGAATAAGGCAGTCAGTGATACAAGAAGTTATGTAACATCCTTTACTGGCCTTTGCAATGCACTCACAAATAGATGTGTACATACATCAAATTCACACTCAGAAAGGAAGAAAGTAAAGGAGAGAAGAGAAGAAGAGGGGAAAGGAGAGGAAAGGAAAGAGAAAGAAAGGAAGGGAGGGAGGGAGGACCGACAAGACTTCCAGAAGAGGAAGTGGGCTACAGATGAGAAAAGGTCAGAAGCTCAATGACAAATGCCGTACCAAGGCCTGGAGCTTTTATATACCAATGTCTACACATGTTCCATTATGTGTCGGCCATGGAGGAAGCAGTTGTGGTGTTCCATTATTCCTCTCCACCCTGAGGTTTCTAGGTACCTACTTATGACATAACACTTCAGGCTACTCTCCTGCCATAGGGACAGCTGAGAGGCCACTCTGTGCCTGGTCATCCAGGCTTTCTTCCACATTGACTATGCTATTATAAAAATGGATCTGTATTTCAAGGTGCCTAATGTATACTGGTTCTCATGTCCCAGAAAAAGAATTAGATAATGAGAGTTCACCAAGGCCAGTTGGACTGGGACTGAACGAGCACGTGATCCAACCAGATTCTCTGAATGTGGCCGGATTCTCTGAATGTGGCTGGCATGGGGTCTTTCTGAAAAGCCATTGACAATGACACTGGGACTTGTTTCCTCTGCATATACTGGATTTTTGGGATCCAGTCTGTTTGGATGCTCACCTTCCTGGACCTGGAGGGAGCGGGGAGGAACTTGAACTTCCCACAGGGCAGGAAACCCTGACTGCTCTTAGGGATGGAAAGGGAGGAGGAGAGGGACTGGGTGGAGTGGGTGGGTGTTGGGAGGAGGGGCGGAAATGGAAACTTTTATAAATTAATAAACTTTGAAAAAAAAGAATTAGATAAGGGACATAAAAATAGAGATGGTTTATTAAGATAACTAAAACACTCCCAAGAACTGGAGTGGGCTAGTGAGCTGAGGAAAAAGCCTGTGCTCAAGAGTACTGGGCTATGAGGCTCATGACCTTTTACACATTATTTACAAAACTCCTGCCTCTTCTACACTATCGTATTATGAGCTTTGGGGAAGATGCTGTCTGGGTTAAATAAAACCCCAGAACAGCAGCACTTCTAGTCCTTCTGGCAACTGGCTTCCTGCATA